TCAGATACCACCTACTCGTGCATCCTTGTGTCAGCTACTGGCCACATGCAGCAGAAAGAGAAGAAACAACAACGAAAATGGTGTCAGGAACTACAAAGGAGGTAAAGAAAGGCTGTGCCCTCCTACATCACAAGCTGCTCCCTGCAAAAAAATCTTGGTGCCATCTGAAGACTGACAACAACATTGCATCTCCCTGCCCTTCTCCTGAATGCTTTAGGGTGTGTGAAGTGTATGGCTGTATTCTATAATGCAGCGCCTTTTTTTGGAGCTGACAGTGATGGAAACTGTTTACTTTGCAGAAATCTGTTTGTATGTATACAAACAAACCTGTTTTCTCCCTTGACATTTCTTGCTTGTGCTTCACACTGTCTCTACATCTTGCTCTTGGGAATGCAGATGGATGTTGCCCCAGTTAAAAAGACGCAGGCAAACAGCATTCTTTATTTGCTTAAGAGAATAAGGGATTAACACGCAAATGGGATCTGCTGCTGTCTGCGTGCATGAGGTGTGCAAGCTGCCGAGTTCCTTGGGAGGATGTTGAGAAGGCCCCGGGAAAGCTGGCCAGCTTGTCTGTCAAAAGAGAAGGCATCTCTCTGTATTGCAACCGATGCAGCAACTTCTCATCTGGAAGATTTGCCGACTCTCTGTCTGTCTCAGAGGAAGCTAAAAACTGAAGTTACAATCACTTCGTTATTTTATCACCTCGTAGAGGAGAAAAAAATTGCCTAAAGGTGTGGTTTAACGAATCATTCTGATAAAGTTTCTGTAACCTGAAGTCCAGCGACCTCGTTAGGCAGCAGTGCACGAAGCAATGCACGTCCGCCGGGCTCAGCGCGGAGCTTCGGCAGCTCCAGGCCGTGCAGCGGGACGGGCACCCGAACCCGACTGCCTCGCGGCCCTTCAGCCGGGCAGCCCCCGCTCTCCGGCGCGGCCCTACCTGCTGCCCGTCGTATCTGGCCAGCTCGGGCTCGGTGAACAGCCGCACCGGCGCCTCGGCGGGCGGCGGAGCCTTGAAGCGCAGCTCCCGCTCGGCCGCCGTCAGCACCGCTACCGCCATCAGCAGCGCGGCCCCTGACGGCCGTCCCGCCGCGCCGCCCGCCATGCCGCCAGCCCCGCCCCCGCGCCCCGGCCCGCGGGAGGAGCGCGGCGCCGCCTCTCCTCTCGCCGCCAACCGCAGCCCCGCGGCCGGCAGCTCGCCTCGCGCCGCACTACGCCTCCCAGCAGCCCCGCGGCGGGCCGTCCAGGCGCCTGCGCGGCCCGGCACGGGCAGGGCGGCGGGGTTCGGCCGTGCCGCCTCGCGCCGATGCCATGCTGAGGCCGGAGCCGTCTGCGTCTTACGAGGAGGTACGGCGCGGGGGGCGAGGCGGCGGGGAGGGCTGTCGCTTGTGGAGCGGAGGAGCCGGCTCTTCGGGCGCGGCGGCTCTGGCGGTGCGATTCCTTCCTTGCTCGTGCCCGGCGTTCCCATCAGCCCACCTGCGGCAGAGCTACAGAAGGGTGCTGCTTTTCGCATCCTGCGGGGAAAGGCAGCGCAGGTGCGTCGGTGCTCGTGTAGCGGCTGTGTGCTCCGTACGCCTGAGGCGGCGCGAGGGCTCCTGCGGCGGAGCTGCGGCTGCTGGCCGCGCGGGGCTTCGCCCCAAGGACTTGTGGTTGGTTCAGTTCGGCGCCGCTCGATCGGTTCCAGCTGTGTCTGTTCACGTCGGAGCAGGAGGCGTTAGAAGGTGATGAATAAGTTGTCCGGCGGCAGGCCTGCAGAGACAGGTTCTCCTTTTGTTTGTGAGGGTTTTATCGAGTAGGAAGGCCTCATCCCGTAATTATCAGGATGACGTTAGCATCGTTAAGGTTGGAAAAGACCACTAAAATTGTTTAGTCCAATGCCAACCCACCCCTACCGTGCCCACTGACCACGTCCCTCAATGCCACATCTCCACGTTCCCCAAACGCCTCCAGAGATGGTGACTCCACCACCTCCCTGGGCAGCCTGTGACACTACTGCTATTGCTGAGAAGAGATGTTTCTTAATATCCAAACTGAACCTCTCCTGATGTAACTTGAGGCCATTCCCTCTCATCCTATCACTGTTACCCAGGAGAAGAGGCTGGCCACCACTTGCTTTCAGGTGATTGTAGAGCATTGAGCTCTCCCCTGAGCCTCCAGATTGAATCCCAGCTCTCCCAGCAGCTCCCACAGGACTTGTGCTCCAGACCCCTCACAGCTTCGTTACCCTTCTCTGGACATGCTCCAGGGCCTCATGGCACGTAACTCATGTAAAAGCTTGCATTCAGGGGAGTGCTTGAGACAGTCACTGATGTCACAGAGACACCTGAAAGCAGAGACTAAACTATGCACGTTGCCCTGTGCGTCAGTCAGCACCACCCAGCCCTGCTCCACGTACCACGTCCCCAGCTCCATAGTGCCTGTCTGCTTTCCATCTCTCCTCTGGATAGTGAGCAGTGCACCTGCCCGAGCAAGGATGCTGGCATAGCTGGAGTTATCTTCTCTGCGTTTGTTTTTCCAGTGTGTGGGATGGGGAAGGAACTGCTGGGTCACGGGCAGGCTCCTGCTGTTGTTTCCCAGTCAGCTGCATGTGCTGAGCACAGAGGATTGCTGAACAAAGCTCCATATCATGTCCTTCTTGCTCTCAATATCATATCTCCATGTCCTCTTGTAAGCTTAACTGTCCCGTGAGTTGCGTTCATTGTACCTCTCAGTGAGAGGCTTCACCTCTCTATGAAAAATAGCAGAGGAAAAGCCAGCCTGTGCGAGTAAAAACACCACTATGCCTGATAAATTAAATTCACTAACGTCACCTGCCACAATCTGTGGATTTTGTCCAAGTTTCTGGAAAAACTGGAATAAACAATGCAGTACTGCTGTGCTGGTTCTCTGCAGCTCCGTATGCGAGTTACCATGCTGGTTGGTCAGTGATGTGGGGCCACAAGCAGTGCTAGCTTCTAGCAGCCACAGTTGGGCTTACTTACCTCTGCTTCTTCTCAACGCAGGTGTTTGGGATTTGCAGTGAAATTAGTTGGTTAAGGGGAGGCTTGTGCGTCAGCTCTACTTAGTACACCTGAGTTCTGCCTGCTTTTGGCTATCTGTACTTCACTGGTGCTCCACGTGAAAGGCTTCTGAAACTGTGTGTGCATTTTAAGTAGAGATCATAAAATATGTGGTCGCTTACTGGTTTTCCTGTTTGTTTCTAAGTATTGCTGGCTGCTTCTCTTCCTACTTATTTGAATCAAGAGGATCTCTCTTGAGATGATAACAAGTGTTGCATACTATGTTCTTGTTTAAACCCCTGTTGAGATCTTGCTGTTAGGAACAGAACTCACTTAACCCTCATGATGTCAGCTGATGAGGTGTGAGATCAGGGCACCCAGCCAGTGAGGTGCAGGAGTCAGTTGAGACACTGTGTGGACGTTGTAACTCCTGTAAACTCTTTGGGTCAAGAATCTCCATCAGTGTATAATTCAGAGTGGCTTTTTAACTGATTTAGCTAAACTGGTACAAAAGGCTTAGTGAATGTTCTTCCGGTGTCACAAGAGCTTATTTTAGGTAAGGTAAATAAGTAGAACTGATGTGGCCCTGCATAAAGGGGCAGTCTTGAGTTTCATTTATTTTATAATGATTATTGGACAAAAAATATCTTCAGTCATATCCAGGTACGTCTCCTGCAAAGGAGCTGAGTGTAGCCTATGATAGCCTGTGTATTCCATGCCTTATGCTAACAGAAAGCATACTTTGTTTTAAATGCTTAGCACATAAATAACTGATGAATGCTTCCAGCTTGCTTTGTATGGCAGAAACAAGTACAGAAATGTGTCAGGAGGTGATGGAGGCTTTACATCAGCCTTCCGAGATGTGAAATTAATGAATTCTTTCCTAATAAATGCAAATGATGAACTGTTAATGATGTAATGGCAATAATTTTAGTACTGAATTGGAGTTGCACAAAAGAAAAGCGCTTATGGATACAGACAGTAACTGTTCAGCTGGGGACGTAAAGTTTATTAGCATTCAGTGTGGGTACTGCATTTAGCATGCACCCTTTTTTCCTTGAAGTAGGAACAAAACTAATTTCCCTGAATTAGCTATTTGATACTGTTTAGCTGGATGGGTACTGTGCAGAACATGATATGCTGTAAGCTCGGGACTCGGTTTACCATGCTGCAGTTTGTGTTGTTCCCTTCCATGAAAGAAACTTGGAAGACTTGCAAGGTATACTTTTAACACACAGGAGGGGGCAAAACAAAATGTCAATCGTTTCCTAATCCCTTGTGATCTTCTGATATGAGGAGCTTCTGACTCTGATGAAGGTGTCTTGGTGGTTGGGACCCAGAGCTCTGAATAGCAAAAACAAGAAAACATCAGGTCTCTGCTGGTGTGGAAACACTGGAAGACCAATTAATTGCATCACCACTAATGTAGAATAATATTTACAGAGAGCTCAAAGAAACATCAAGGGTGTCTTAATGTCTTGTAATGACCCACCCACCTACCTATATAGCTGGGACTGCATTTGAGTTTTTGTCCTAATATCTGTCAAAATTCATTTTGCTTTTTACATACTTCTCTATTAAGGGGTGCTGATGCTCTGTTTGTTGCTATGTGGTGCAGTATCTTTATACCTAAAATATGTTACTGAGTAACAGAACAGAGTTCCTGCCTATTTCAGAAGGCATCCCCTTAATTGGGGGTTCTGCGTGAGCTGAAATTGCCAGGGAAGCAATTACACCCGTCCTGAAAGAAAAGGTGATGTTATTCTTGAGACAACAGGCTAGAAGTAGGTTAAATGCAGTATGAGTGGCACTTAATTTTCAGCTCTAGATCTACGCAAATGTGACTCCTGTGAACAATTGGAACAGACACTGGGTGCTGTTGGACTGGAGGTAAGGTTTTGTGTGTTTGGTTAGTTCGAGCCTCTCTTATTTGTACCATAGAAATTCCAGCAATTGCAAGTTGAGAGCATGTTTGGAAATTGAACCACTGTTTTAACTACACAGCTGAGTGAAGATGTGGAACAAGTATCTGAAAACCCGACAGATGAGAGAGAAGGAGAGATGGAAGTTGATGAAGATACCAGCTCTGCTATTTTACCAGGTGAGAACTGTTGACCTCAAGATTGAGTTTTTAAGTACCTGGTAAGCTGTTTCTGTGCAAGATTTTGGGGGTTTTTTTGTTTTTGTTTTCAGTAAATGCGCCAATGCGGGCTAGATTTGAGCATTAAGGTATGCCAACCTGAAATGAATATCCCCTAAATGTTTTGCAGCTGCTCAAGACCGACTTTTTGTTAGTAGTGCAATTTTATGCATGTTAATGACCTAATTTCCTTGGCTGACATCTCCTGGCAGTGAAGTTTGGAACACTTGTGTGGCCACGGACTTTTATACGTGGTTATGTGTTCAATAGGAGCTACAAAAAGACTAGTGTTTGCTGCGGTAAGGAGCAAACAGCAAACCCCGCCATTATAGCTGAAGGGCAGAGTGTGGCATGGCCTGAAAGGGCCTGACTCATTAAATTACACCACACGGAAAAGTCAGTTTAAAATGTGCCTATTTATCTCCTTCCATGCTTTTAGTTTTGATGTTTATTTTGCAGGTTCAGCTTTATATCGCTCACAATCAAAATATGAACCTGTAACTTCAGTACATCATTTTTTTTACTTACAAGTACTGTCAAAAGAAGTTGAGAATGCAAAGGGGTATGGAGTAAGCAGTGTTTGTGTAGCTCTGGATGTGTAAGTGAGACTAGTGTGAAGATCTTCAGAGAATAAGCTTTGAAGGCAAGAAGGAAGGAATCGGGTCTGTTTTTTTCCTAGGTGTAATCGGAAAGAGCCTTCTTTTGTGAAACTTTACGGAATATGTGCCAGGAGTTGCAAATTACAAACCAGAAAATAGAGGGTCACAAATTCACAGTGGCCTCTGCCATGGTGGAGGTGCCATGCAGTTAGCTATGTAAGAGCATTATTAGAATATTAAATCTCCCTGCCGATGCTTATACTGAAGGTGGTCAGAATCAGATCAGACTGGAAGTGAGGAGAAATGGGTTGTTTGTTCCAGGAGGAAAGACGGAGCACTGAGAGACCTTTTCGTGTGAACTTTGAACTTTGTTTCCAGATTGGCCTTCTTGAAAATAAATGCTGTTTCCTGCCTTGTCCTTAGGTGAATGCCAAGTTCAACATTTAAAAAAGGCACAGCTGTCCAAAAACTCTGCCTTGTGCTTGAGGAGGAAGCAGCTGTCTCACTGATCATTAAAGACAGCAATAGGTTGTTTGTTTGTTTGTTTTAAGTCAAACTGAGCTTCAGGTTTACTTTCTTCTCAAGTGATTGATCTTTAAACAAACACTATGTAAATTCTGCCCCAAAATCTGTGTTTCAGAGTTCTAATTCATGTTCTGTTTGGTTCCAGATAGCGAACTGGGTACCGGTGCCCCTTCCTTGCGTTTCAGCAAGACCTGCCTAAAGAATGTGTTCTCAGTAATTCTCCTGTTCATTTATCTGCTACTTATGGCTGTAGCTGTGTTCCTTGTCTACCAAACCATCAGTGACTTCAGAGAGAAGCTCAAGCACCCTGTGATGTCTGTCTCTTACAAGGAAGTGTCCTTGTATGATGCACCTGGTAAGACTGGTAGCTAATAAAGGGCAGCATTTGATAGCCAGGAAGTGTTTGCACGCTCTAGAATGGGCCCTGTTAAGGAAAGAAGGTAATTTCTCATGGAACTGCTCCCCAGACAGCATTAATGGGGCAATGGAGCACGTAGGATCTGTTCCTGGATCTCACTCCTGCACTGGACAGTGAGGTGCTGCTGACAGTAAAGAGTTTTCCAAACAAACCATAAAACAATAATAATACCAACAAAAAACAACCAACCAAAAAAAAATAACCCAACAAACCCAGAAGTGGTGCCACTTCCTACTTCTGTTCTGCATTTTTTTTTACCACTTGGAGGTGCATCAGAAGCCAATGACAATGTGGTATGACTGCAGAGAACAGTGTTGGCAAAAAAATGTAATGTGGCATCAGAGAACTGTATTGCAGTTTGCAGGAGGGATTACTCCACAGAAGCATTTTTGGATAGTGAGTTCTATAGTCACTTTTTAAAATTACCCAGTAGCCATTTGTAAATAGAGCTGTGGTAGCAAATGTAGCTCAAACAGCATTGGGAGCCTTTTGTTAGTTTCCAGTGTAAAAATAACACTTCTGTTTGAAGTCTGTTCTGTTTGTTACCACACCTTAAATATCACAGTTCCAGTAATTGTAGTTGTAAGGTGTTTCATGTTGTTGTCTTACTCTTACAGATTTTTGTAGAATTAATGTAGCCTTTTGCTAATCAGTGCATCAGTGTTCATCAGTGTTGCTTTTGTTGCTGTTAAGGTAACAAGATGGCAAGTTGATTGCATGGGGCACTGAAGGAAGGAGTAAAACATTTTTTACACTGATGTGTTCTGGCTATTCTTATTCTTCAAAATACATCTTGTATTTTGGTGGACAGATCATCTCAGTTGCATGAGTTAATTGCACAACTTGTAAGTCATACTTCTTCTTGTAGTTGGCCTTGATTGGCTTCAGGCAAGTTTGTTTCCAGTACTGAATGTGGCATAACAAGATGTTTGGTTTGGAGCCTTGGTACTTTGCTGGGTTTCTACAGCTGAGGTATTTGAGGTCTGAAGCCTCGAGCCTGAAGCTTGCTGTTGGTCTGGAGCCACAAATTTATGGTGTGTACAAGTACATGAATTCACATACAGGTGAAGTAGTAGCTTGCCTACCTAAGTGATAAAAGTAGTAAGGTATTGGTTGTCACAGTGTTGTATTTTATGAATAGAAGATGCTGGATGTTCTGAAGAGCATCTTTTCACTTTTATGAGATTAGCATAATCTCTCATATATAGTACATACGCTTTTTCCAGTTAAAATATCATGTGTTAAATCATAACATCTGAGTGCGTACGTTCTGGAGCACTTTGTGTCCCATTTAACTTCAGTGATCTCCTAGCTTACTTTGTACTTTCCTCTCATCTGGGGTCAGAAGGACTGATTCCTTAGCTGCTTGCTAAGGGGGATGAGGGAAGCTTAGTACCTTCTGTGAGCTTTGATTTGTAGTAATTCAAAACAAACCTGGATTTTCTTCAGTGCATTGCAGGACTTCTGTCCTGATGAATGCAGCTGACACTGCTGTCCTGCTCTTAAAAAAATACTCAAGCGCGTGATTTAATTTGATTGTGCTGCTGCATCTTGGCAGGACAGCTCAGTGTCCTGTGGGATTAAATTCCAGAGTGAAAATCTATGAATGTCAGCTCTCTTCAATGTTCTCTCTCCTGAAACAGGTATTGCCTTTTACCCAGGAAAGGCTCGGCTGCTCAGCTGCAAGCATCATTACTATGATCACATTCTCCCTCTGATAAATCCAGGTCAGCCGGGAGACATTGAGTGCACCACACAGAGTATCAACTACACAGATCCTTTTACTAATCAAACTATGGTAATAATACAACAGAATAAAGCTTATTCAGTGGGCTGTGGGGTGTTCTGCTTGTACGAGGGGTAATTGAGAGTTTTTATATATTCTATATTTTTTAGTTTTACATTTACAAAATACTGCAAAATATCCTTGCTTCTAGGGTTGTGTTTTTCTCTATTGAGTTGGTTGGTTTTTTTTTCCCTCCAAACCATCTCTTTATATTTTCAGAAATGTAAAATACCCCAGTCAGTTTGTATGTATGTTATGGATGATCAGCTGTCACGTGGCTGTGTAACATGCAAACCTGAATGGAACGGAAGTCTTGCTTTGCAAGTGAAACTCAATTCATCTCCTTAGTGCAAGCACGCTCCTTGATGTAGAAAATCTAATGTTGAAAGCAGTAACAATTTCATTATTTTTGTCACAGTTGGCAAATTCTTAGTTAGGCAGCTGAGCATTTTATTGTATTGAAGCTCTGTGTGCCAGTAAGATAAGATAGTACATTAAATGACAATCTAAATTCCCCTTAAAAATGCAGGGAGTCTGGCTTCTGTACAAAAAAAATGTTTAGAAAATGAAGTATGAAGTGGGGTCATTTGTGTCTAATCTGAAGTTATTGCAGATTGTTCCTAAGAAAACTAGACATGAACAAGGAGTCTAGTTACCTCTTTGGTCAGCTTTTTTTCATCATCGTGTTTTTCTTCTGTCTAGTCATCAGTTCTGTCTGGGAAGAAGCTCCCAGTATGTTTTAAAATAATGTGCCAAGTCTAAATATTTAATGTCTTTCATTTCTTCCTCTATTTTTTTTTCTATTTTTTTGTTTTAATAAACTAAGAACCTGTATTTTATGCTGTGTGGTAAATTTGTTTGGGAGCTTGCAGTCCTCCAATTGAATGGAGAGGCATCGAGGCAGACCTGAACCATGTAGCGCCATGTTCGAATTGGCAGTCATTTTTGCAAGCAACAACTTGCTGTCCATTGTAATTCCTGCACGTTAAGCAGTATTCTGCCTGCTAGCTGGCTGTCTTTTTTTTTTTTTTTTTTTTCCCTACAGTTCCTCCTTTGCAGCTTGCTTGAGGGCTATGAAACTGTGCCTTTTCCTCAAAGGCAAGCATAATGTTTTCTACATCAGACTCCAAATGAAAATTGATTCATGTCAAGAGCTGAAAGTTCCCAGACTGTAATGCCCTAAGCTGTCTTGATTGTCCTTCTGCAGAATGCAGGCTGCAGAGCCTTAGCTGGTAATTGCACGTGAGCCCGAGTGGCAGTGATGGAAGTAGTGCAGATTGATGGAAGTGGTGCAGAATGATGGAACTAGTGCAGACCTCTTAGCAACGCTCTGAATTGATTTAGAGAATTCATTTTTCAACCAAAAGGTGGAAATCTCATTTGCTTGGCAGGCATTCTTTTCGGATGTCTTAACAGAACGTCTACTTACTAGAGGCCAGGAGAACCTCATTCTGTATTAGATTTCTGCAGAGTATCAGTGACAGGTGGCAAATTCATGAACAGGAAATGAAGATTCCTCCTCTCCTACTCTCACTGTCTCTCTCTGTCTGCTTATAGAAGTATGCTCTGGTTGTTCAAGGCCCTCGTGACGTGAAGAAGAAGGAGCTGGTGTTTTTACAGTTTCACTTAAATGGAACAGACCAAGATTTTAGTGCCATTGACTACCTTCTGTTTTCTTCTTTCCAAGAGTTCGTCAACAGGTATGTGGAGGGGTGAGCCTGTGATGGCGTTGAACTGTTATAGATGGGGGTTTAAAAATGCTTTGTGTTGATTTATGTCAGTACCATTGAAGTGACTGATCAGCCTTTTGATTATTTTAATAGGAGTGGAATTAATCCTTGCTTGAACTTTCTTGAAAGCCCCAAGCTTTTTCCCTCCTCGTGAGAAGCTTAATTTTAGCTTTTAATTTAAATACAAGTTCTGTTTTTCTCTCTGTGATCCAGATGACAAGCTAGTCAAAAGCCATTAGGTACAGTGATACCTAATAAGGAGACTTCATTAATGGTCAGATGTAGAGTGGTAAAGCGCCTATGTAGAGAGTAATAAGGTGATAGAGAGGAAGAAAAATAACCCATTATTGTACTGAAGCACTTCTGGAGGCTTGGGCATGATCACATGGGTGTGTTTTCAGAAGAGGAGCAAAGACTGAAAGAGTTCACTCCCAGTGTCTCTGGGTGTCTGAAGACCAGTTATCTGAATTTGCTTTTCTATTTCAATGAAGGAGACAGATATTAAGCTGAAGTTATCAGGTACTTCCTAGAACTGCACAAAGGCGCAAAGATGCAAATGTTCCAGGTACTTTGGGCATTGATATTTTGGGCACTGATGTTTTAGAGTCAGAAAATACCAACTGAGAGTAGCGATGCTGGAGGTACTACTGGTTCCTTCTGTGTTGGATTTTCTCAGTTTTGTGGCTTGTACTACAGTCAGTGGCAGGAAAGGTGGGACTGATTCCAGCAAAATGCACAGCTATTTCTGTACTTCAAGACATGAGTGAGTGTCTGAGACCATCCCCAGTGGATGAAGATCAGAAGGGGTGGTTGTGTGGTGTCTGGTTGCTGTATCTGTGCAGAGCAAGCTAACTTACCAAGATGCAAATTGGCCTGTGCGAACTTAAGTTCTGGAGGCTACCTTTCTGTTCTCATTGTATCAGTTTGCAGATAAGCCATTCTAAAGAGCTGTTTGTTTCCCAGTTAAAGCATGTGTGTCCTGGTTAAGCTAGTAGTATTCAAAGTATTCAACTCTTCCTGCAAGCAAGTCTACATGCTGCTTTCTGAAATGTTTGTATCGTATGTTGTGCAGAGGTGGGTTAGATGTGAAAAACAACACTAAATGGTATTGCCAGGGTCCTAGCTTGAAGGCCATATTTGAGCCAGAGTGGATGAATCAGTAAGAAACATCTGTAAGCTGCCTGAAGAAACTGGGGATTGCAACATCCTGCCTCCAGGTTTCCCAGATCAGACGGGTTAGATGGCAGAACTGATTCCTGAAGAGAAAGGGAAATGATGCTCTGTTCCTAAAGAAGCTGCCTTGTCTCTGCTGGGAGAGTGAAGACTGAGCCTGAGTTATGTTTGAAGCAAAGCAAAAAGGTAGGAAATGAGGTCTGTATGAAGGTGCATCTTTGTGCCTGTTCGTAGCATGTAATAGAAATGTAGGTCAAGGCTGGTTTTGAACTAACCCAGGTAATGGTGGAATTGGCAAAGGCACATAGGCCTTTAAGCATGCTGGTAAATGATCCAATTATCCAGTTGAAATAGAGAACCAGTTGTGTGCAAGATGTTTTGATACTGTCTCTCTTAGAGCATTCTCCAGAGCTTAGTACCAACTGTATGTCTTTGTCTTCCTCAGTGTTGTGTATTGCTCTCTTGGTATCCCAGGGCACAAACAGGACAGGTTGAGGACAGGCTGCAAACAGATCTTTTCTCCTGACTATGAACTGCAAGTGGAACATCTTTTATTTGTGGGATCTGCTCGTTCTATTCAGCTTCTAGCAGGAGAGAAAATAGAAATGGCTTCTGGTTCCTCAGCTGATGCTAAATTTAGCTGATGGGGAAGTCTGGACTGATATCCTTAGAAACTGTTGTGTACTGACAATGTAACTTTGTCCTTCCATGCACTCTCTAAAGAAACTTCAAATACTGACCAGTATTTGGCTGTTGTTAATTACTTTTCCTGTCCACATGTCTCACTCATGGGTTACAAGAGCATGTTCTTAGCACTGTGTCCAGCAATGAACATAAGGGTTGTAGCATTCCTGAAGATGCTGAGATGCATGCTGCAACTCTTCAGATATCATAATTACAGGTTGTTGGGTTTTTTTCAATTAGTTTTTAATATGGCTGCAAACGGCTTAGGTTGGTTTGGACAGTCAGACTGCTGTAACATTAGGATGTTTCATCATAAATCATAATCTGAACACTGTCCTCCTTACAACTGATGAAAAGAGTCCAGCTGTATCTCCACAACTTCTCTGTAGGTTTATTACGTGCAGCTCATTTTTGCTTTATATATCAATAACCAGTGAAGGCTGCTGCAAGCATCAGCTGTAAAAATGGCTTCTAGGCTCTTATGCTTTAAGAATTTGTTGAGTGGTGAGGACTCAAGTAAGGTCCAGTTGTTTCTGTCAAGGGTTTTATTTTCTGTAGCTCTCATGTTAAAATTGGATCACCAGCTTGTATTAGACTGGCAGTGTGTGCTAGCTTTGTTTTGGCTTTCACAGAACACTGCTGAATTGTGTGCTATTGTCAGACTGTGAGTTGGAGTAATACTGCCAGTGGATTTTCTTCTTCTGTGTTTTTCTTTCTTCTTTAAGACAGGGGCAGCTGCTGTGTGTACAGCATTAATCAGCGAAAATGAAATAATGAAACCCTTGCGATGTTACAAAAAATGTGTAGCTAAGTATGCAAGTTCCTTTCCTGAACTATCATTAGTGTAATACATGGGTTTGAGTAGCAAATCCTCTGAACATATTGCTGTTGAAACCATTGTTATTTTAGCATGTACAATAACTTACGTAAGATGACGAATACCAGTCAGAACAAGGCAGAGATTATTTAAGGGTCTAAACAGAGCTTCGTGTTCCCTTCTCTGGATTGCTGTGTGCAGAGGAATAAATGGTAACGAAGAAGGGTCAAGGCTTTGATACCACGACATCTGACCCTGTGTTACGTCCCATGTAATGTTGGAGAGTTTCCAGTTCCCCAGCAGAGGGGAACTCAGGCATTATTTGCCCTCTGCTATTACTCGTGCAGAGCTTCTGCGTCTCTGCTCTGTCCTCCCTCCTTTCTGTTGTTCCTGACTCTGTGGCACTGGTGTGGATTATTGGTGCACACAAGGAGATGCCTTTTCAGATCACTTCTCCACAGCTTCTCTTAAGATATCCATCTTTCTTTTTCAAGCCTACAATTACCATTGAAGGCAAAGTATACTATACAAAGTTGCTGCCTGCTTACCATGTAAATTGTGGCTGTAATGTTCAACTCTAAGTCATAACTTCCTGCCTCAATTTTCCATGTTGGTTTGGAAAGCCTTTCTGGGATGCTGTACTGAGTCATGCGTTGGTGACAGGCTGGCAGAGTGCTAAGTATGTATGTTTCTCTGAGTGGCAAAACACCACACTCTTCCTGGCTGTCTGTCCCCAACATGCTGCTGTACCCAAATACTGAGAGGGGAAGAAGCAGTTTGTCACTGGTTGGCATGGCAAGGAGCAGTCAGGCATTGGCCTTTCCTCTCGTGCTTTGCCCACATCTTCACTTTGGGATTGAAGAGCTGTACTGCAGCTTATGTTACAGAGAGATGAAGATATCCTAAATGGCTGAAGCACTCTGGAGTACCTTGACAATTAGCGGAGTATTGTTTTTTCTTTCTGGAAATGCTTCTCCTTTCTGAGTTTGAGCCCTCCACCTGAAGCCCTGAGCTGAAAGCAGTGACTTTGCTAGGCTGTGCCATGCTGTGCTATCATGTGCATGCTGATCTATTCAGCCTGAGCAGTCAGTGTAGTACAGAGCAGCCGTCAGCATGGTAATCTTACCAGCCTGTGCATGTGCTGCCACGTGGACAAGTCATCATTCTTTATAGGAAAAAAAAAAGGAGCAGAGAAAAGTTGGAAAAAGTGTAAATCCACCCAGTGTTGGTACGTGGCAGATCTTCCAGATCAGTCTTGATTTCTTTGCATCTTTCTCCTGGAAGACCAAAGTAGCTTCACCTTCTAGTAGACCTAGACGTGAGCTTCCTCTGCCATATGAACAGAAGTATGCTCTTTCCCTTTACCTCAGAAGGTGGATTTACTCTGGGTCAGAAACGTTTTTCTCTTCCCTTGTCTCAAGGACCAGCATACCATGGCATAGCTCTAAACCTTAAATCTATCTTCAGTAAGAATTTGCAGTCTGTTTTAATGTTTTGTGACTCATAACAGTGGTTTACCTGTTCATTTCAGATGAAACCTTGTGGAAAAGCAGCTGTAGGGAGAGACAGGCTTATTTCATGGAGAGGACATGAAAGTGGCTAAAATCACTGTACCAAGAAGCTCCAAATGAATGGAAGGGTTGATTCAGTGTGTCCTGTGCATTTAATAGAGACAGGATTCTACCCTAGAGCTACCTTGTTACTGCTTGCAGGGTGAGGGATATTGGAAGACTTAAGATGGCAGAAAGTCACAGTTTATCTTATAAAAAGATATAAACCAATCCTGTTACTCCAGGGCTGCAAATATCTGTGGTTGTGTATTGGGAAAATGGCTGTATAGCAGATAGGAGCCCTTATGTTGTTCCTGAATTAATAGGACTACACTAAATGTGAATTGCAAGGCATGTTGTCTCCATTGCAACCAGCTTATTTGCTCCTCAGAAACGGTGTGAAGCCTTGGCCTGAGGTTATTCCTTCCATCACTTGCTTCTTAGCATTGTGGTGAGTTGTTAGCTGGGGTCCTGGCTCTCTTCTTCTCTCTTCCAGTAGTGACACGTGAGCAGAACAAAGCTCCCCCATAAAGCAGCACAGCCTGCAGGGGGAGCAAGGCAGCAGGTAAGTTCTTCTGCCAGTAAGAACGGAGTGTAAGTGCTAATGTTAATCAAAGCTTTCCTGCTAACAGTGTATTAAATATGCTGAATTACAGCAGTTGATATTTCAAAGAAGTTTTAAACACGTTGGAGAGCTTGGGCCTGACGTTCTGCTGCTGCAGTGTCCAAGCACTGCTCTGAGTTTGGTCAGCAAAGTAATGTTCTTTCTCCTTTAGTCCAGAAAAAGCAGAATTCATGAAGGACTGTGAAAGTTCATACTCCAGCTGGAAGTTTTCTGGAGGCTTTCGAACTTGGGTCAAGATGTCCTTGGTGAAAACAAAGGAAGAGGATGGCAGAGAGACTGTGGAATTCAAACAAGAGGTAAGCAAGCAAAGAAAAAAATCCATGAAGATGTTAGGGCATTACGTGATTTAAAACCTGGTTGCTCTCAAAGAGTGCGGGGCTTCTAGTCGAAATTGGCCAACAGAGCAGCATGGAGCAGGCGGCAGTCTGAGCTGGAGGAAGGGGTGGGTGCGTTGGCTGGTTGTTTTGAGTGAAATGCCAGGAGACTGGCTTTTGTTTAATGGTGTCTGCTCTACCCCTTGCTGCTGAGCAGTTGGTCATCTGAACCGTCTCTACAGTTAGAGTTCTTTCAGTTGGAGAAATTCTGTAGAATTGTAGATGTGCTCTGCTGTTGGTATGGAGACACATCTCAGGAAAAGCATCTCCTAACAGGGAGATGAGAAGGCCTTGGTCATTGTCATAAGTGACACCTGTATCCAACGTGTGGGTCTGAAGGGACAGAGCTACCTTAGTTCAAGGTAGAGATTTCCAAAGGAATTATCTAAATAATAATAATGGAAGGAGGTACTGTTTAGGTTACTACAAGGGCTGATGTTAAAATGAAGAAATAAATGTAAGCTGAGTATTGATTATAGCACTCTCATATCTGCTTTTTGTTTGGGATTGGGATTTTTATCTGTTAATTACCCTTAGAAATACAGATAACTTCTTGAAATATCTCAAGATAGAAAATATGCAAGTGGAATATGCAAACTTAGCTAGAAATGAAATAAGTTTGACTGTTCACACTGACAGACAGAAGTGTGTTCTGAGCCATTTCACTTGTGCCTATTGAAGGGAGAGGCCTCAAGGGACAAGCTGTGGCTGTGGGCTGGTAACCTTCAGCTCTGCTGCAGGGGAGTGGGAGAATCCTCAAGTCCTGTGGTGTGGGCCTTAGTCTGAGGAAAGGATATCCCAGTCAGCTGCTGTCGTATAAGCACTGATTACAGTTGTTGGTCCTTTGTCATCTGGAGCTCTGTTCCACTTGCCAGCTGTGGTATTTATGTAGGGTTGGATTTTTTTTTAAGACTTTGCTGTATGTCCACATCTAAAGCATCTCAAAGTAGAAAAGACTGACCCAGAATCAAAGGTGAGCTGTTTGTTACCACGAGCATCCATTGAGTCTGGCAGTTATGGATTTCCCAATCATCTGTGTGGGCTGTTTGGTTTGTTAAAAAAATAATTAAAAAAAAAAGGAAATACGAATTGGTACAAATGTGAATTTCATGTTTCAGTTACCTATTAATAATACAGCAGAGGTTGAATTAGTTCAGGCTAATTGCACTTGCTGTTTGACAGTACAGTTTCTGCTCAAATGGAATAAGGAAGTTCATTGGCCTGTCAGATGTAAAACAGGGAGGCAGCACACCAGAAAGCTGGATACAAATACTGGGTCAAATAGCATAGCCAGTCAGTCTGCTGAGTAATGCAGTAGTCATTGCTCGGTCTTTTCTGCCTTTCCCATTGCTTTTAGTCAGCTTTGTGACCTGGTTTCCCATTGTGCAGTTTTCCTGAATGAGTGTAGCTGAAGTATTGTATGCTGCAATAAGTAAATGAGCTACAGAAGCATTGGGTGAATGTGCAGCAAAGAGGTTTGACTAGAAAACATAAGGCTGTTAAGATTCCAAAGTGCTTGGAATGGGTATACAGTGCTCTGCTTCCTGCTTCTGTTTGCTCACAGCATAACATCAGGGGTGCCTCCCTAGGAGGAGACTGATAGAAAGCTGAAGGTATTGATAAAGAAACTAAGCCGTGGTGGAGAGGTAGGAGGTTGTTCCCCATCCAGTGTCTGCTGAATCCATTCTCGTATCTGTAGCTCCTGGAATGAAGTAACTGTACTGATTCATTACCTCAAGTACAGAATTAACTTCTCCAGGAAGATCACAAGTGCTGCTTTGTGGACACACCAAGGTGTAACCTTTCCTCTGAGGTTTGGAGAAGGGCCAAGTCCTCCCATCACTGCAGTGCAGCTGGTGCCCGGCTCCTGTGTGCTTTGTGCTGTCCTCCAGGGACAGGAGGCTTACAGCAAACTTACTGCTGCTGCATGTGGTTCCCCATATTGCTCCTTCTGGGCTCAGGTGTCTGTATGTGGACATACAGACAAGATGGATGTTTTTCTGAGGCCTGGTGTCTTCATGCTTTCCCAGTTGTCACTCTTTAGCAGTCAGTTCCGTGTGGCTGCAACATCTCTCTGGTACCCTGAGCAGTACGTGTGTCACAGCTGCTGGGAGGTGTCACACAGCTCTGCACCAGGCAGTGATCATTTCAGACAGCAGCTCAGCCAAAGGGCAGTACTGGGAGGTAGGGTTTGATCAGCAGTGTGTAGGCTGCTTTCCCCTTTTCATTCTGCAGTTTCTGGTATCCAGCTTGTTCCACACCTGGTTCTTTAAAAAAAAAAAAAAACAAAACCACCCAGCCTCCCAGCCTATTCCTGCCACCATCGTGTAGTTCTGTGGTAAATAGAAGTCAGCACTCATGAATGACAGCTTGCCCAATGCTCTACTGGCCCCAGTAAATGATTTTGGTGAATGAACTCTCTGCACTTTGAAGGGGGAAAAACTTTATTTTGACAAAGGACAGGGGCATTTCCAAAGCAGGTAGTGAGGCGTGCAGTGGGCTGAAACTGGCCACTGCTGGAGCAGAGTGCTTTCAGTAAGCTGCTTGTGCGGCCATGCTCCAGGTGAAGGCTTTCATCTGCTATCTCTCACTCCTTCTTGAATGTTACCACACCTCCTTCTGCCCTCCTGCAGACAGGAATAAATGAATAAAGCAGTCAGGCCCTGCTTCTGTTTTGCCACTTTGATTTTTTAAAGAGAATATGGACCTGTAAGCACAAGGGGACAAAAGTGATCACTGACACCACGGGTGAATGGAGTGAGACTTCCTGTGCTGGTATATATGGCTAAGAGCTGTGCTGCTGCAGCGTGTGCTGTGGTTGTAGCTCTCTTGTGCTGTGTCAGCAAGCACTGGGGCATCAAGTAGGAACAGTGAAGCACTGCTATATGTCACAGAAGCCTTGGCTGCCAGTCTGAAATGGTACAGTGTTTAATTAGGTGAGAAATAGGAAGTGAATGTGATCGTGAAACAGATGGAGGAAACTGATGTTCTGTATTGTGAAAGCCTGACGTTCCAGGTGGAGGAAGGCTGAACAGCCTGCTCTTTTCACCTTATAAGCCTTTTCTGATGCACTGAAGGCTGGATTGTACGACTGAAGAAAGTCATCTGCACCTTCTTCACCTTTTTCTTTTCTCCCTCCCCAGACTAGTGTGGTTAACTACATTGACAGGAGGACTAAGCTGAGAAGTGACCAGCTGTTTTTTGTGGTGTTTGAATGGAAAGACCCTTTTATACAGACTGTTCAAGATGTAAGTAAACAGCCTTGCATCTTATTTTCTTGCCTCACATGCTCGTGGTGTGTATTTGTGTGCGTGTGTGCCTCAGAGCTTCTGTGTGAACTGAGGGAACAGGAAGAGTGAAGTTAGTTTTGAAATCTCGCTCTGCGGGGTTTGGTTGTTATTTTTATACCTTCAGTAAAAAATAGCCACTGGAGCTCAAGACCAACTGATGTCTTTCCCTGGCTCAGTGACACAGCATCGTCTTTGCAGCTGAGGTGCAGGTAGCTCAGAGAAACCACGCTGTGGTCTGTGTGATGGGCCACCATCATACATGGGATGCCCCCGCCTCCTTCCAGCCGGGAGCGCCCCGTGCTGCGGTGAAGGGTGGTGTTTATTTCCTCTTGCTGATGCTACGGCAGCCTGTGGTGCTGTGTTTGGGCAGATCTATAATAGGGGCAGCCAGGTTGCAAACCTTGTGGCTCAGCATGTGACCCAGAGCCATCGCCTTTGTGCTGTCAGTGTCTGGTACTCCACAGCAAATCTGAAAGCTGTGTTACTTTGTTGCTGCCTAAACCTAAATCTGCTCCCTTCATCTTGAGGTCCTGGAAGTCACCATCATTCCTAGGGGTACAAGAAGAATTGCAAACTGTAAATAAAATTAACTACTCCTAAGCCAAACGTAGTTAAAAACAGAAACTGAGATACTTGCTGTAGTACTAGAAAAGCAGTTGCTGCTGTCAGAATGTAGTTTATCATTACAGTGCGTCTTGTTAAAGCTTTCCAGTAGTTCTGGCTTTGTTTGGTCTTAATGGAAGAGCCTCTTCTGTATGACTGCTAGTTTTTTTACATCTTTAAGCAACGTAGTAAATTGCTAATTTAACAGTATCTAAAAAGTTAAACAACCCTGAAAGTCAGAAGGAATCTAGCAGGCAGTACAGGCAGCTCCTGGCACGTGTGCTTCCTTTCTCACAAAAGGAATGGGATGAAGCCCAGAACAAGGCACAGGTGTGGCACGGGGCCTCAGCTCTTCTTTGCAGTGTGAAGGCATGTGCTGCCGAACTGTTCTGGTAGATACATTGAAATGCTTCTTACTGTACAGGTAGAACATATACGGAGTCAGATGAGAATAATATTTTCAATCTCTTTCAGATAATCACAGCAAATCCTTGGAACACGATCGCCCTTCTCTGCGGTATCTTTTTGGCTCTGTTTAAGGCTGCAGACTTTGCTAAGCTAAGTGTTAAGTGGATGATCAAAATCCGAAAGAGACATCTGAAGAGAAGAAGTCAAGTAATGAACCATATAAGCTGAGACTAAAACTGCCCTGTAAGTATCTGCAACAGAAGGGACAGAGCACAATTGGAATAAGCTTCCACTGGCAATACAGCAAACAGGTATGTTTTCTTCAGGAAAAACACTGCTGGAGGAACAGCCTCATGAACTGACATCTGAACTCCTGAGAAGAGCTTAACTCTAGGAATGCTAGGACAGCTCTAACAAACTCATGCTTTTCTAGTCCAGATTTAACAAGTTTACCTCGGTATGTGGGGGGGGGGAGATTTCACTAATGTAGCAGTTAGATCTTTAAAAACAAACAAACAAAAATGAACTGTTTTGAATGCTCAGAACAGGGGGTGTGAAAGTGCTGCCTGAGCTCTGAACCTGCATCTGCTACCAGAATGCAGTTATTTCTGTGACCATACTTAGTGGAAGGTAGAACCCAAACAACAAAACAGTCCGGCCTCCCCTCTCCAAAGAATGTTAAAACAAAATACACTGGAATTCTACTACATCATTTTTCATTTAAAGTGTATTGACTTGAATATTAAAAATAAAAATAAAATATTGGAGTGAGCTGTCATATCCTTCTCTGAAACTGCCTGCTCTCAGATGCAGCTGGAGTTTTACAGGAGGTCATCCAGACGGGAATATTAATGCAAGATGTTGAAGTTTACTAAATAAGTAGATTTTATTTATGTATTTCTGATCAGTCTAAGTCAAGCAACTTGATAGTTTCAGAGATAGACTTAGGCTGCTGCTCCTCCCTGTTTCTTGCAGTCTTTGCTAAGGTATTAAAGAAGCCTTTCATCAGTCTGCTGCTTAAATGTGATTCTCTGTTATAAAAGAGAATGTGCACTAACGAGCCATGCTGGGGTGGTGGAGTCCTTTTCTTCCTTATAAGTCCCTTGCTGGTCAGATGCCTAACAACTCGGAGCTGTGCTGTCTACAAGGCAGCTGTGCACCACTCAGTGCTGTGTGTTTGCTCTGAAAGGTTTGTTGCAAGGAAGGAAGCATACTGCATCATATTTTGCTGCTTCCATCCTCTGCTAATGGCTTGTTAATGGAGTGGTAAGTGTACTTCCAATTTTTTTTTTCCTTCTAAGGAAGTGTAGTGACTTTCAGGTGATTTCCAGAGCAAAATCGAGGCACTTGCTCAGGTTTAGAAGCCACATTTTAAGTGCCTTGATATTGCCAAGAGTGCTACAGGTTAAGGGTTGTTGGTAAGAGCTGCTCAAACCCTCTGGTCTTCATGAGCACAAAGATGTGATTACAGCACTAAATACAAACATAAAGACTTTATTGAATGCTGCTCAATTCCCCAAAGATCTTTCATTACAAAAGTTTTCCACACAACTGCAATTTAGGAGATTGGAATGGTACTCTGATAAAAGATGTGAAAAATACTTGATCAGGTGACAGACAAGACTTCCATAGTCAACTTTCCACTTTCAAGAAGTGGACTGCATTTTCTTTAAATAAAACAAGGAACTAGTTACTGACAGCCTTTCCTCCTTTCTGAAAGGAAAAATATGCCCCTTTTGGTATTGCTCTTCCATCCCCAAGGTGCTAAAAGTAATGCAGAAATGGCCACAACGGATGGGCAGTGCTATTCTGCAGCCCTCTGTGGGCTGAGCAGGAGCAAATGTTAAGTATGGCCAGGACCAGGAGGCAGTGAGAAGAGTGTAGAGGTACTCACTGCATGTAAGCAAGCATGTGGGCCATCCTGCCCTGTTCAAGCTGACCCTCTGTCCCTGTATGTCTCACACTAAGTGACCTTATACAAAAATCTAAATGTGAATTCAGTCAGGAATTCAAGACCATCTGAGAGCTCCTTCCAGCGCTGAGGGACACACGCTGCGTGTCTCACGCTACTGGGAACGGACCGTGGTTTTATTTGAGAAAATACAGCACTGCTAGAAGCCTTCTCTATCATCTTCACCAAGGTATGCAGCGATGTGAAAAGCACATATAAAACAAGGAAAAAATGTACATAGCAAACTATACCACCTATGTGCAACACAATCAAAAATTCAAGTCATAATTCTCACCACTCCCGTAATTATTTCACTCATTAAGGATGATAATTCAGTTCTATGAAACGCTGGAAGTGACAGGATATCGATAGACAAATTTACAATATGCTGTGGTACTGACATCACTTAAATGCTGTATTTAAATTCAAATCTTTTCATTTACACTTAGCCAGAGAAAAGTTGGCTGTTCCTACTGTACTGATGAGGTTTATTTTGCAAATTTTTACATATTTCAAAAGGGTACAAAAAAGTATGTTTGTCGAGTGGAGGTTGTCATTTCTTTTATTTGGCACTTGTATCGTGTGCATTGAGCACATTGTGAGTGCTGTTCTGCTTCTCTGCCATAGCCTTCTTCAGCTTTAGCTCCTCTAGCTTTCTCCACAGCTCTTCACGTTCCAATTCTTTCTTTTTCTCTCTGTGGAAAAGAGTGAAGTATCAATTTCAGATCCGTCTTTAAAAGAGCAGGTACCCAAACAACTGTGGTCTACACCTAGCAATCCGCAGCTTAAGGTTTTTTCTCCAAAGGTATCTTCAGAGGCATTCCATTTCCTCTATTAAAAGGTAAGCACGCAAGTTAGTGAAGAGCAGTAAGACAGTGACTGTGCCCTGACAGGAGTCTGTCAGATGATTGCTGCATTGTGCTTTTGCAGAGATGACTGCGGTTCGGAAAAAGGAAAGATGCTGAGCGCTTTGGGGAAGCACAGCTGCTGAAGGAGCCTTAGCGTGCACATCCAGCTAGCACAGCTCCAGCAGCACTGCTGGCTGGCTGGGGGGATAACAGAGGCGTTTGAGCAGTGAGGTATTTTCCAGCCAAGCTTCTTTCTCCAGCCAACAGCCCTTGAAGCAGAGCCAGCACCAGGCGGCCCCTGTAGCACCTGAGCCCACTTCTCCCCCCAACAGGTGCCTCCTGCTGCAGTGCCAGCCACAGCAGCAGTATCCACTGTGTGCTTCTACAGACCCTGCAGCCACAGCAGTTAAGTGCTAGATTTCAGCTAGGTACGGACTCAACATCACCATCCATTTGGACAAACAAACAAACCCATTACCTTTGCCTTTCTGCTTTATATGAGCTGGTAAGCTCATCAAAAAGCTTGCCGTTCATTTCCATCAGTGTTTTCAGCACGTTGTATACCAGTGCCACGATGGTTCTAGAACAGAAGGAGCACAACCGTTAGAATTAACACAACCTTCAGTAAGCAACTTTTGGTTTCCTTTTTGGACCCTAAACTTTGCATTTAAGGTGCTACTGTAAAGCCCAGTTTTTGAAAGAAAATCTTGTACAGTAGTCCCTCCACAAACAAATGAATATTTAACTTTAAACTCCCAACTCCAGTCAACACATACAAGATATAACTCTTGGTACTGTGATGGTACTGTAAAGCCTTTCAGTTATGTTAGTATTTAATAAACTGAATTCTAGCAAGGATTTTTAAGTATTTGAGCAATGAAATAGGAGAGTCCTAAAGGATAAAACTTCTGGTGATAGGCACAAATTTGGCAGTTAATTCAAGAAAGGGAATAGCTCAAGCAGTACTGCTGTGTCTAAGGTAAACTGCAAATCTTGACAGCCACAGATTATTTTCCTTTTTGACTCTATTTGTGAAGATACTCTCATGTCATAAAGTTATCTTAATAATGTTTATCTCCTTTCAGCCCACTCTGAATTATTACACACACACCTGCAGAAATTGCAGTAAACATGAACAAGGTGCCTATCTTTCAGCTTATCACTAATCAAAAAAGGTAAGCTGTAAGGTAAGCTGTCTCCCCCTTGTTCCCCTCGCTACTGGAGACCTTCACACAGCAGTAAGGTGTGTAAGGCCATAGAGCAGGAGTGCCATGCTCTCACCAGCTTGAAAAATGAGGAAAAGAATAATTTAAGGAAGTAACCAAAGGACCACGTTTGCCTTTTCAGTGCACTCCGTTCACTGTGGCACCTTTGAGATCTCTCTCCTGCTGACCGGAGGCCTCACACTGACCCAAAATGCAGAGTGGCCCTGGCTTGTCCACCACTGAACGCTGGCTGTCTCGTGGTTTGAAGACAAAAGCCTACTTAGGTTATTGGTTTTCTGAGAGGAAAAGCCTCATCCTAAGTGAATAATTAAGACTACACTAGACAGGTAGATGGATATAAATAAGCTTCTTTGTCTTTCAAATCAGATTAAAACCACAGGGCTGTACTTGCTTCCTGAACTTCCTGCTTTTCAAAGTATACAATTAACTTGTGTCTTCTGTGCCCTTCCTAAAGTAAAGAGCACCTTCTGTCTGCAGCTAGAGGAAGAGGGACACCATTCGGATTTGCTGAGGCCTGCAGGCAATACTAAGGCTCCAAGAATCAGGTCTCCTGTGGTTAGACTCAGGCTCAGCTGGTAGGTTTGCACCACCTGGAGACATGCAGAGTAGCTTCAGTCTCTATGGGCCCTTAACAGGTGTCTGATCTGCTCAGACTGCAGAAGGCTCCTGCCTACCTGGGTTTCTGCCTGTAAAAACTTTCTATGTTCACTGACTCAGTTTCGGGTGCTGAGCACAGCCAAATTTGGCATTTTAAAAAATATTTCAGTGTCATTACCTTGTCCTGCAAACATAGGAAAAAACAACTAAGGAAATTAAATAACCAGCACCTAAGATCAAATGTCATTAGAACACTGCAACTGCCATCCAGTTCCCTCATTTTTTGAGTAAATTCCAGTTTTCCATCATAATGCAGAACAATGAAAGCACGATATTGCTGAAAATGATGTCCATTTCAGCAGATTTCATCTGAGTTAAAATGAAGACGTATTTACAAGGTTGTGAGCTCAACTGGAAATAGCAGGCTTAATGCAACGCACTCCCGGTACCGCAGGTACTTAAACGTTACTTACGGGTTCCAGTGTTCTTTGGAGATCTTGTATAAACTACCAAACATAATTGGTAGAATTTTATCAATGTTCTCCTCAATCAGACTAAGAATATATTCATTATTCCAAAAGTACAAAGCTCTTTCTGCAACCTGAAATGCAAAGGTTAGGAGTCAGCAACCAGAAAACAAATTACTGCAGGTGATTTTTGATGGGTTTTTGTTTTGTAATTTTTTTTTACCTGAAAATGTGAACTTGACACACACTTGGAAATTTGCTTAAATAAAGGCTCTTCTATTTTTTTGAATTGTGTCGGCTCTATTACATCTAAGATTTCTTCAATTTCACCTAAAAACATTACCTGTTGTATAAAAGAGATACATCAACAAGTATGAGAACGTTTTATATTGACAGTGTGAACAGAAACAAAAGGTGGCTTAAACACGAGAACGTGCACAGAGCAGTGCATGTCAATGCAGAGCCTCGGGCTCCTCCGTGGTGTGACTGCTCTGGCACCTGCATGAGCTGCTTCTGCAGAAAGTTTTTCTTTACAGTTTAAAAAAAAAAAAGCTGCAACATTTTACTTCCACGGTATCTGCAGAGGTTACCTTTGAGATCTGCAGACTAGCTGCTCCATGGCCAGCAGTTAATAGTTTTAACCAAGAGCCAGCAGGACAGCAGGCGGGTGGCATGGAAAAATTCACTGCCAAACAACTGAACGGACAGCAGCTCTGAAGGGCTGCAATGTCAGGCAGCCACAGAGGTGAGCTGGGGGGGTATAAGTACAACTCTGACTGTGCTCATTTGGATTACAGAGAAGAAAAGCCAGCCAGAAAAAAACAGTTTCCCCAGGCCAGTAAGAGTTGTTTTCATCCTGTGGAAAACATGTACAGACACTTCACCAGAGTTCTATTCAGCATCTCAGTGGCTGTGTCTGGGCTGTGGTACAGATGACTGCCTCCAACACTGTGTGACCACACCACAGTGCTTCTCACCTCCCAGACTTTTTCTCTACACAGTATCTTGATTAGAATGAACCTCTAGCACAGTTTTAACATCACAAGTGACAACCACAGTGACAACTGGCATGCCAAAAAACTGCACTGAGTAGCACGACAAAGATGAACACTCTTTATAAAGTTTCAAGAGCTGCAAGTTTATTGCAAGATCTCTTGAGAAGCGCAGCAGAGATGCAGAGCACAACCCTGCCTTGCAGTTTGCAGCACAGCAGACAAGAAGCAGAAGAGAGAAGACAAAACCAACCTCTTTCTGACTGCAAGTTTTGGGCCAAAATTTGAGCAGTCCTCTGATTACCTGTATGAGAAACACAAGTTAAACCAGAGCACGTTTCTGTTACATATTTGATAAGATGGAGGAGAAGAAAAACAAGGCAGTTTCTCCCTCTCCAGCGCATCAATAACAGCTGAATAAGGCTAAAAGCAATTGCATGAAAACAAATACTTTGCTCATTTAAATATTTATCTTGCTTTGGTTATCCACTCCCACCGCGCTATGTACACTAACTGGTAGCACGTTGATATCATCAAAGCATCCCAAAATGAAGCTCATTTCCCCGTGGGCAGTTTGCAGTACTTCTCCTTGTTCCCTCGTGACCCATGCACCGCACAGCACCGCACCTGGGGCATTTTGCAAGCCAAGAGAAAGCAGTGCACAGACGGCACAAATGGCAAACAGAGGAGGCCTGGCCTCCACCACACCCTTTTTTCTTCTGTGATTTGAAGTGTCAAAGGCTGGAAACTAGAAATGATGAGAACTTACAAAGAGAATGGTTTCCAGTGTAGATACTGAAATACATCTCATGTAAGACTGGAAAAAACCCTTGGGAAATGTAATTGGAAAGCACAGCCCCTAAGAGGGGCAGGAGAGGAGGGAAACCACCACCAAAAAGAGCAGCAGCCATTCCCCAGAACAGACACCGGGACCAGCGCCAACCTGCAGAACTGACGCTGCCTGTAGAAAGCCCAAACTGCGCCTTTCACACACACAACCTTCAAGCACTGTGAAATTTCATTCTGAGGAAAGACCTCAGCTTTTATGGTATAGCAGCACCTAACAGATCGTACCCAACTGTAGAAGTTAGCCTACCACGTGAATGCCTTCCATATTGCAATTTTCCCATGTTTTTTTGCTCCAATCTTCCCTGTTTGGTTCACAGCTGTGTGCACTGTCACAGGTGACGTGCTGGCAGTAAGGTAACGTGTTTGGTGCTCACCAAATTTTATCCTGGGATACACAAACTAGAAGACTGGCTGTCACTTCAGGTGAAACTCAGCAAATGAGGACTTCATACTTTACATTTTTAAAGAACAAGTCAGAACATGGACAGTCTGCCAGCACCTTCCCTTCCCCAAACAACACCAGAAAGCCAAAAGATTTTCAGATAGGTTCTAGTAGCTTATCTGTGGAAGATGTACCTAACATATATCTCTGTAACCTGGAGCAAGAATATACTGATATTGGAGGCACAGATCTGGTCAGCTCAACAGTCCCGTTTCCAGCAGTGGGCAATGAGTGCTGAATAGACTTCACTACATGGACTCACGTTCTCAACTTGACAAAGCAGCAATGTTCCTACTAGAAAGTGCAAGCCTCTACAAAATACCTCCTGCTTGCTCTTTAGAGTTTGAGTTTCCAGCTTGACCACACTCTTACACTGAGAAGCTCATACATGCACATGTAAGGTCAAAGCCTTTTTTTCAAGAACTGCACAAATGTAGACGTGAAGTCGTACTGTTCTCACAGCACAAAATACACACGGTTAACATTCCTCCCAGGGCTACAAGGTTCCTATAAAGCTGACTTACACCAGCAGGCACCTGCTAGACAACTTCTGTACAAGGGCTGCACATTCAGCCTGATTCTCATGAAAGGAAATTCCATCCATGTAAAGGCTGTGGCACTCAGCAGGGTTAGGTAATGAGCTCCTGTCAGCTCTGCAAACATCAAGACCGACCTAAGGCAGACTACCATAGCTACACGAGCTCGGAACACACGTCCTCTGCATTGACCCCGAGAGACAATTCCTGCCAGAAAAATAACAGGGAGGTACTCATGAAGCCTTCTGATGGACTTCTTAAAGTACTACTTCACCTACAGCCAAACAGAAATCCGTACGCTATTTCTGTTATCAGTTGCTCTATTGAGTTTTGACATTTACATTTCGAGCACTTCACGTTTCTTACATCTTCACTTACTACCATATATTAACTTTTACTCTTCCTTTATAAAGGCAGTTTTACTGTAAGTTTACATTAATAGCCAAAGTATTTAAATTTCCAACATCTCCTTAATGGGAGGATTTCCAATTGCTGACCAAACTGTTGCAGCGCCGCTCTGTCTCCCCAGGAGCTGCAGCAGTGCCTGCACTCTGTACAGGCACAGCCAGACTGCCTGCAGGAAGCACTGCCATTCCCTTTGGGGCTGGGCAGGCTGTGTGTGCCGCAGGAGATGCAGTCTGGCAGAAGCCACTGATGCCCAAAGCACCTCTCCTGCAGCTGCCAAGAGCTGTCCCAGGAACCAAAAAGACAAACGTCACATTTGGAATGTCAGCGTCCTTTCTGTCTAAATAAAGTGTAGTTACTCTTTCTCACTTCCATTTTGGGACAGTGTATTGCCTTGAAATATTTCTGATTTATGCTAGGCACGAGCCATCACACCACTATTACTGAAATTTCAGCTCTTAGCAGGAAGGAACTCGCGTTTTCATATGAGGTGATTTATGTGATCTCAGCTGCTCAAACTGTTATTTCATCTTGGATGCACGCTAAGAGATAACTGCACTTTCAAACTCAGGACTTTCTCCTACTCTTTTTTCCCCCTTAAATAACACCTATGGATCATAATCAAGATACCAGATAGCACTACTCTGCAATTCCCGTGAACTGCACTGAAATACCAAGTTGAAATTAAAGCCAGAAAAACATGCAACTGAAAAACACTTACAGGCTCTGTTAAAGTTGTATCTTTCTCCAGGAACTGTACAACACAATAGGCGAGCTAGAATATAATCACAGAATTATTTAAACAGACACTGGTTAGACACTGCAGCATAACTAAGTAGCACAGCTTATAATGAGAGCACTTCTGAGCACGAAGAAAGAAAATGAGAAAGGATAAAACCCCAAACACTGTGTTCTCACCCACCTCAGTGATCGCTGCCCAAGGGCCTGAGGAGTGATCCTGTACGTTCTATATTCACTTATTTACATACTGTTTAGTTACTCAGCACACAGTTAAGTGACAAAACAGCCGTGGCTCCGCCATGTTCAGAAGCCACGCGATGACAGTTACAGTTCTAAATTCCATGCAGACTGATTTTGAGGAATCATAGCATGCTTCATCTCACAATATGACTCAGACACATTATTCCTGTGCATTACATGTGCACTGCCAAACCTGAACTCAAGAATTACCTTTTTTTTTTAATCTGTTATCCTAAAACAGGTCATTACCACAAGCCTAACGTACTGCTGCTACACCTAAGGATAAAGATATGCGTGTGTGTTGTGTTTGTGTGTGTATTCAAAAAACAGTCTGGCACACAGACTTCATAAATTCCCATTAAGGCATTACTGTGTCATTTATCCACTGTTCAAAGACACAGAGGCTCAAATTCAAGCCAGCTTTAAGTCTTCATCTTTTAAGGTCAGGCTCCTTGTGCTGCAGAAGCAGAGCGATGGGACTGCTCCCTCATTTCCAAGTGCTGTTTTGGAACATAGCTCTAGTGCTTTGTGACAGAACAGGCAAGTAGCCTGCTCAACAAACCAAATGCTGCTTCTCAGTATCCAGTACAGCTGAGTTTAGAGCATGCTTTCAGGTACCAATGGATGTGATTAAACATATCAGAGAAGAAAGGCAGCTTGCTGCACTGATCTATCTAGAATACTCTTGGCATGTGATAGGTTCCTTTATTTCACATGGCAGCCTATCGCACAGCAATAAACCACAAAGACAAGTGATCTAATTAATTCCTACTTCTCAAATACAGTTTTAACTGAGCTCTCAATCCTGTGTGTAGTCTATATAGTCATAATGATTTTGCTTTAATTAGAAACTCATTTCCTTGTTTTGTCTATAAAGGAACTCTATTAGCTGGCGGACTAAGTTAACAAAGCTATTTTTTAATTAGCCAAGCTGAATTACTTGTAAGTTCACATCAAATGTATTCAATGCTCAAGTGCCATATGTCTGGCTATAATGCACATTATTCCTCCAGTAAGACGAACGGCCGCGCTAAGCATAAGAATGGAAGTCAAATGAATAACTGCTGCATTCTGACAGCATGTC